TGCCCACTGCTCCTCCCGGGCTCTGCGACCTTGGGCCGTCCCGACCGCCCTGTGTCCTTTCCGACTGTAAGCTGAGAGGCGGCTGGCTGGTCTCCGGCGTCCCCCTGCCAGCTCTGACTCTGAGTTGTGCCGGGGGTGTGCCTGTGACATGCCCCAGAGCCACTGCCAGGGCCCGGGAGGCGGCTCTCGGCCTTGTGGGGCACAGACACGTGACTCCCGCTGAGCTCTAGTGAGTGACGCTGGCCACGCATGTCAGCTGAAGGTCACCCCCCAGGGCCTCTGAGCGTGCAGCAGGCAGATGGCTTGGCATCTGCCGGGGAGACCGAGCCGGCCTTCCCACCCTCCCGCTGGTTCTTCCAGGGCTTCCCGGTCCCACCCACTCTGCTCTAAAAATACCTCGGGCCTCTCGCTGGAAGCCAGCGGAGGTGAGAGATCCCGCCCGCCCGTCTGAGGGAGACAAATTCACAGAACCCAGGCTGGCTGCCCACGCGGCCTCCACTCGCGCACCGAGAGGCTAGGGAGGCAGAAGGGGGGGTCCCAGGTTCCCAGTCGGAACGGGGCCTCCTGGCGTCGGCGCTTCTGGTCCTGGCAGGACCTGAGGTCCAACTGGAACTTTCTGGGCTGGGGGTCCTGAAGGGCAGGGCCTGTGGGATCCTCTCTGGGCCCGGGGGGCAGTCACAGGCCCTGCCATGAAGACCCCGGAGGCCGCGTGGACTCCCGGCCGCCCCCACAGCTCCGACCCCGGCTCTGCAGGGAACTTGGCCGATGTCAATACTTGTCCGTTCCTATAGAAACCGCAATCGTCAGCCTTCAGACGCCAGCACAGGTCACAGGTGTGCAAATGCGCTTGGTGTGCAAAGCCCCCTCAGTGTTTAAAAACATTCGTGTGAAATCTCTCCCGTGTCAGGTTTGCTAGCGGGTTGGGGGAGTCGCGCGTCTGCGTCTACGGCCGATCCTTTCCCTCTGTGTCCACGGAGACAATTGAGCCTCCCGCGCGGAGGGGGAGGGGTGATTCCAGAGTGGTTTCGGTCACGGCCCCCGAATTCAGCAGCTGGATGCTCCCTTCCTTCTTGAACATACGTGTTATTGCCGTGTGCTCACGTGAGATAAAAGTCACCCCCTTAAAGGGCCCGTTGCCCGCTTCGGCCCATCTCTCCGTCACGGAGGCCCCCTCCACACCGGCCCGGCTGCTCCGAGCGATGCATCCCCGCGGGCGTGGGCCCAGCCACGATCTCCCACCCTGACCTGTAGGGGCTTCCTGAGGTCCCGGGAGGCTCCTGGGGCGGCACTGAGACAGCCATCCCAGGGAAGAGTCCACTGAGCAGGGAGGACGGAGGCCGGAGAGGACCAGCCCGGCTGGCCCAGCTGCTCCCGCTGCTGCCCCCTGGCTCACTGCGGTCTCCGCAGCACCTTCTGGCCCCGGCTGGGAGCTGTGGGCAGTGGTGATGCTTCGGGAACCTCCCCTGGCCGTGGCCAACGGAGCTGAGGAGGGACTGACCGCTTAGATCAGTGGCCAGACACCAGCCATCTGCCTGTCGCCCTCCCTGGGTGCCTGCCCACTCGGAGAACGCCCGGCACAGCCTGGGAGTGGGCGAGGGAGGGCACGAGGTGGCCCAGGCCCCTCGGCCGCACAAGGCTTTCTCTTGATTTAACCAGTTTACAAGAAAGGGTTTCCTTCAGCGCTGAGTCCTCCCACGTCCCAGGGGCGTGGCGGGCCTGAATGCCCCCTCGTGGGACAACGAGTCACCCAATGGCCGGCCACGGAGCAGAGACGGAACCACAACTTCTCCATCGCTCTCTGCCAACAGACCTTGTGAGCGGCATTCATCTCAAACAGAAAGAGAACGCTGGTCTCAGAGGCTGTGACCTTGAGCGAGTCACACCCACGGGTGAGGGTGGGCACAGCCAGCGCCAGGGT